TTACGGGAATATTCTACGACGGCAGCTGGAGACTGTGTGAAATGTGGTTGTATTAGTGACACACTGTCTGAGGTGTGATATCAATAATAAGACGATAGTTTCTGAGGAATATTAATAGTAGAAGCAATAAAAAAAAGTGTCTATTTAAATTAGGAACTGATTCTTATGTGATCAAATAATAAATCAACAAGACAAAGAATTTAACGTCAGTGACGGTCGTAATAATCGTTCACTATTTTCTCAATGAAACGTTTGGTCGACGCTTTGTACAGATAATAAAAAATGCCACAGTGAAAATTTCGCATTTCACATTCACTAAACCAAGTCAGTGTTTGGCATTCCTCTTTAGAAAGTGACTTCAGCGTCACGTCGGTTTTCTGAATCCACCGACTGGTTCAGGCCCGTTCGACGGTTTCTGATCCTCGGCGCCACAGACACGTTTGAGGCGACCTCGGGACCAGCGGCGAGTCTCGACACTCAGACCCGACCGCGGCTCTGAGACACGTTTAAACCTTCAGTCCTCCAGAGTCTCTGGTCTGAAGTGGTTAACACTCCAGCTGGGATGAAAGGAATCCAACATCAGACTGAAATTCCTTCAATCTGGAGTTTGTGTTGGAGACAAGTTCCCAGAGGAGGCCAGAGGAAAACTGCTCGACTTTTCATATTAAACTCTTGAGTGTTTCTATAATCTACAACTTTCCTTCCTGCTTTGTTGACGTTGTTTTTCAGCCTCGTCCAGTTGGACTAAAACCGACTGTCTGAAATCCTCTAGAAAAAAAAACAGTCATGTTATTTGCAATATTCCTTGAAATCCCTCGTCTGTCCCAGAAAACGCCTCAAACTCTCTGACCCTCCCCGTCTGGAACACGCCTCCCTCACACTGGAGCTCCATAATATTCCAGGAATGAACAGTGGGAACCATCAGAGTCTCCGCTGAGACCAGTAAAACTGAAATTCCCTCAGACGACACGTTACATCTGCTGTTTGACAGACGGTTTAATACAAACAGACTCAGCATCATGAGAGAGGACAGTTTTAGTCCGGGCCGACCCGGAGGGAGCTGAACCCCGAACATTAATGCTTCACCACAGGGTCACATGACCACTGAAACTGAAACTGGTCCAAACACAGCAACTGATCAGGAGAACTGGATCTGAAACTTCAGCACTCAAGAGTTCAGACCTTCAATTAAATCTAATCGAGTAAGAAAAAAACAACTGGCCTGTGTGTTTCTCAGATTCTTATCCTAATCTTTCCTGATGTTACACAGAGATGCATCGATCCCATTGGTCAGTACCGATCCAATGCCAATCCAGGTGTAATTCTACGTCTCTTCATGGATCCTCCAGGCTCAATTTCTTTGTCTTTAATAAGATGCAACGTCAGTTTTCATTTTCAAGTTGTTGTCTATCGAGATTATTATTACTCTTATTTTGAAAACCCTTCCCGGTTCTTTGGAGCCACATTTCTTCTATTGTTCATTTAGTCAAAGTTAAAACGTTGTAGAGCGGAAATCAATTATGTACAAATGAGCAAAATTAATTAGCGACAATTTAGAAAACTGGCTCGATGCCAAAACACCCAAAAAGAAAAAAGAAAAACACTCACTCTGCTTCGTAAATGTAAATATCTGGTGTCGTCTGACAGCAAACTGAAGATACCTGTTTTATTTGAAGACGTCATCACAAACTCCTGACGAGGTAAAGTAACGGAGAAGAGACGGACACTGTTCTCACTTACCAATATTATTCCTAACTATTATTACTTCCATTTAAGAACTGGTTTGCTGGGTGACCTGATGGCCGATCGTTTAAAGGTGCATATCACATGAAACGCTCTACACAGACGGACTCATTCCCCTTCTCTCTGTCCCATTTCCTGTCCCTCTCCACTGTCCTGTCAACTAATAAAGACACAAAATGTCCAAATAAGTAACTTAGAAAAGAGAAATGAATTGTTGTTTTACAGGAAGCTACAAAGTCCAGTTCGTCTCGATGCACTACGACAGACAGAACACGACACCTGGTTCCTGGTTCGGTTAATTAGCTGTTTGTGTCCGTGTTACTGTTGGATTCACAGACGTAAATACATCATGAATTCTCTGCCTCTTTCTTTATGGGCTATAAAAACGAACAGTTTAGTTCTCGGTCTCTCTTCTGCAGCTTTTCGTTGCCCGACCTTCTGCCTGGGCTTTAAAAACACCAAATTTAGCTCCAGGCTGGAAACTTTAATCTCTTTGTCCCAATATTTTCTCTTTGAAAAGACCAACTTAAGCTCCTTGTCCCAATATTTTGAATTGAACAGGACTGTGTCTGACTCTCTGATCTAATACCTCGCTGCTGTCTGGATATTAATTCTCACTCTGCCTCTCCGGCCGCCCGAACCTCCTGGGTTGAAAAGCACATTATTCCTCGGACAAGAATTTTTATGATCCGACTTGAGCTAAACAGCACGCCATGCGAAGCGCTGAGAGGAGAGAATAAATAGGCGAGGAGAGGCAGAGAAAAACCAAACAAGCCCCGGCTTTAAAAAGCGCCGAGCGCCAAGACGGATGGTCGTGTAAACACAGGCCTGATATTTTATAAAAAGCGAGAGTGTGACATCTGAATAGTTAGCGCCTGACCGGCTTATTGCTCAACACAATCCCAGGGATGATTAATAGGCGAGGGGTGACACTCAGCGCCGAACCCCCTTAGAGCTGCATAAATCACACCGTGTTTTCTTTACGATGATGTGGCACTTAGAGGAGGGAGGGAGGGAGGGGAGGGGAGGGGGGAGACGGAGACGGAGAGAGAGAGAGAGAAAGAAAAGAAAGAGTTGCAGGAAGGATGAAAAGGAGGAAGAGACGAGGGAGTTATGACCTGAAAGAAACAGAGTGAAATGAGAGAAAAGAGAGAGAGGAGAAAAGAGAAGAAAATGTTAAACAAGAAGAGAGAAAAAGTGAAGAGGGAGATATGAGTGAGTAAAGGAGGAGATGAGGAGACAACAGAAAGAAGAGAGAGTGATGCAAAAAGAAAAGAGAGAGAAAAGAAGAAGAGGAGGAGGAGGGAGGAAAAATGTCAGTCCAGTTTTCCAGCTGGTTAATGTCAGTAACAGTTATTAGTTTGTCAGATAAGGTCTGTGTGTGTGTTTACATTAGTCTTAGGCTGAGTAAAGCCCCACATAGTGCTGTGTGTGTGTGTGTGTATGTGTGTGTGTGTGTAGAACTGATGGCTCTCACACATTTCATTGTCTACTTCACCTCAGCTAAATATTTGGCTCTGGTGTAAAAACACACCTCTCTCTCTCTCTCTCTCTCTCTCACACACACACACACACACACACACACACACACACACACACACACACACACACACACACACACACACACACACACACACACTTTGAGCTACACGTTGATGTTTAGCAGGTATAATCTTTACGAAGTTCACCATCTTAGATTAGCGTGTTAGCTTGTTAGCATAAGCTAATTAGCACTGAACACAAAGTCCAGCTGAGGCTGATGGGAACGTGATTGGTTTATGACCAAATACCTGCAAAACTAAAGTGTTGGACACGTTAAAGTTCGGACCTGATGATGACGCTGGAGGAAAAGTTCAGTCATCACTGAAGTGAAGTTACAGTTCATCATCTGATGAATGTGTAAATAGACATCGACTTCCTGGCGGCATCATAAGAGAAGAAGTCAATCACTGAAGTCCTGTTTCATCTGATGGACAATTAGAGTCCAGGTAATTCACCGTCATGGCAGATACTGATGACTGATTTCAGCTGTGAACAGTCTGTCAATAAATAACACAATAAAACATCAGTACAGTCAAAGATCCTGTAAGTTTTAGGTCATTTATAAACAGCGTCTCCATCACGACACTTTAGAAAAGAAAAAGACACTCGTCCTCTTCCTCACTACATAAATGTGCAAAGTTTTCTCCCACTTTTAACAACTTCACACATCGTGCAGCTGATATCAAACACACCGTTACTAGTAATGAGTGTTAGTACAGGTGGTGCCGATGCTTCTCCCGCCTCCACACATCCATCACACGCGCTGTTCTTGCGTACTCGAGGACTCGCGGACGCTCCCACAGCCGCGGTGTGATAATCAGCTGACGGATGGCGGCGGGGCCGAGCTCAGCTTCCTCCGCTCGCTCCGTGTCTTTAAACAGAGCTGTTAAATGTCCTAACACTGTCAGCTCGTCTCCAGCAGCAGATTAAAAACCTGAGACGTCCCGACGCAGAAAAACTACCGTTATCTGCTGTGAAATATGAGAGCTGTCGGGATACAAGGCCTCGGCTCGGCCGTCCGCTCTCTTCACTCTGATGGAGAAGTTCTGTGAAGCAGAGTTCAGACTGTTGTGCATAACTTTTTAAATCACTGGTTTCAGCTCATGGACACAAACATTTCACTTTACTGTGATTAATAGACTTCATTTATAAATATAGACTTTTCTACTCAAAGCACTTTACACTACGAGTCACATTCACACGTTCACTCAGCACTTCTATATCACTCATTCACTCATTCACTGACGGCACGTCAGGGGGAATCTGGGTTCAGCGTCTCGGCCAAGGACACTTCAACATGCGGACTGGAGGAGCCGGGGATCGAACCACCGACCTTCGGATTAGTGAACGACCTGCTCTTCTCCTGACACTGTAGCGTGACGTCACGTTCAAGGAGGCTCAGACATCTGAGATTTCTTTGTTTCTCTGTGGTTTCTTAATGACTGATTTTTTGATAATTGATTAACAGTTTTAAGCATAAATGACAAATAATTCCCAGGACCAGCTCATGGATTTTCTGCTTTTCTTTGTTTTCTACAGATGAAACTGAATTTCTTCTGATTTTGGCAGAAAAACGAATCGACAGAAAAACGGTCAATTATGATTAATCGGCTAAAATATGCAAAACAACCGAATTCTTAAAAGGTGTAAGAACACATCATTAGACACCCCCCCCCCCCCCCCCACCTGTGAACTTCCCTCTGAACCATCAGTACCTGTTTGAACCTGGCCAGCTCTTTTAAGGCGCGCCCCCACTGCTGCTTGTAGTGGAGCTTGGACTTGGTGGTGGACTCCAGCTTCCTCTCCAGTTCCACCTTAATAATCACAGGACAAAGTCAGTCACACACATGTGACGTGGTCTGGACAGATGTTACTGACACATGTTCACCGACTTCTCTCAGTAAGGCTAAATCACCATGGTCAACATTTTATTCAGTTACTATAGTGACACAAAGATTTTTTATCCAACTACATTTGAACTTAGTGAAAACTTGAAATTAAACGTAATTAAACAAAGATGAATTATCTTGGTAATAATAACATTTTGAACGGCCACCTTCTCCAGAGTCAGCAGGTTGATGTCTGACTGCAGTCTGAACTCAGGTCTGACGCTCTGTTGTTCTCTGTAGAGCTGAAACTCTTTCTCCAGCTGTTTGTAGCGACACTCGCCGTCTGAGATCTGCTCAACACAAACAGAAGAAACGAGGAACACGGGTTATTATCATTAGATTAACATGAACGCTCAGAGTCACACACACAGAGCTCTGTATCTGTGTCCACCTGCTGCAGCAGCCGGGCTCTCTCCTCCTCCATCAGTCGCACTTTGTCTCTCTCCAGCGCCGCCCGGTGGTCACACTCCTGCTGCAGCCTCCTGCTGCTCTCCTGCAGCTCCTTCTGGGTCAGGTTGTGTTCGGCTCGCAGCTCCCTCTGCAGCCTCTGAGTCTGAGGAGACACACACACACACACACTCACTGTGAGAACACACACTTCACACACTGTTCCCCACACTGCTCAGCTGTGTACAAGCTTTGAACTTAATTCATAAAAATAAAATGTTCATAAAGACGCGTCTCGCCTCCTGTTTTATACCTCAATAATGCACATAAAGAAGAATCACAACATAAACAAACACAATGATCTGTACAGCTGATCAGACCTCTAGCTCCGCCTCCGCCAGCTGTTTCTCTCTCTTCTCCAAATCTGACAGAGTTTTCTGAAGCTGCTCCTCCAACAGGTTATACTCCACCTCCTGCAGAGAGAGAGGGAGGGAGGGAGGAAAGAAACATGGTCATTCAGTGCGTGTGTGTGTGTGTGTGTGTGTGTGTGTGTGTGTGTGTGTGTGGACTGTCCACCTTCTTCTTGACCACAGCTTCTCGCTCTCTGTCCCTCCTCCTCCACTCCTCTGCCAACGCCTGCATGTGGCTCAGCTCCTTCTTCCTCAACTGAAACACACACACACACACACACACACACACACACACACACACACACACACACACAGTGTCAGTAGTGTAAAACATCTGTTGACCTTCAGTCAAATAAAAAGTTAAAAACTGTAGTTCAGAAGTCAGAACTACATTTTCCATACACCCTGTTACTTCCTGTTTCAGAGGGGTGTGGTCTAAACTTCATCACTCAGCAGGAAAACGGCTTGTTTGTACCTGATCATCGAACAGATCCTCCTGCTCCTCCTTCCACAGCTCCAGCTCCAGGGCCTTGCGGTACTCCAGGGTGTCTCTGGGGGCCGCGGGGCCCAGCGGGGAGGCGGGCAGGCTGGGTGCTGCGGGGTGGGAGGACGGTTGTGTGGGGGCCACAGGTTCATTCTGAGGAAATAGAATGAAAATCTCTTTAGCAGCCATTTCTAACAGTGACCAGAAAGTCTTCTTCTGTGACTTTAATCACAGAGTAAACTGTGGCGATGTCAGACGACAGAGAACAGCTGTTTGATGTTCACGATGTCTGAACCTGACACCAAGTCTGGTTCATGAAGAGAGGCAGCTGTTGACATCTGCAGGTAATCATCTGACCTCAACCACTCCCACACACACACACACACACACACCTGTCTCACCTGTGAGGAGTCGGACACGATGACCTCTCTGGCTTTAACCAATCCCAGGTCGTCCAGCGTCGTCACGTAGCTTAGCTCTGCGACCTTCTCAGTGGGACTGATGGACGGAAACACGGTGGTTAACGACCTGTTACTCGTCAGCGGTGACACAGATCACATGACTCTGATCACATGACAGGCAGTCAGAGATGTTTCCTACCGCTGTGTTTTGACCACAGGGATCCGGTCCTGGTGAGTCTGTCTCCAGCTCTGCTCTCCCGTTGACGCCAGGAGTCTGCTCCTCTCAGAGCTCAGCAGGTGAGACAGCTGGACGGAGGCTCGTCCAATCAGCTGGTCTCTGCTGGTGGGGTCTCTGTGCCAGACCTCCACCACCAGAGGAACTCTAACACAACAACACACACACACACAAAATGAGTCCAAACACATCATATCACATTGCAGCACCTGAATGAAAAACCCAGAGAACTGTCCTGTTGCTCCCCCTGCTGGTCCAACTGTGATTCACAATGTCATGACTAGAGTAAGAAAAAAAGAAAAGAACTTTATTGTCCAACAAGATGGAAAACTGGCTCATAACTCAAAATGCATTAAAACCATATGACACAGAAAATGACTCTATACAAAATAAATTCTCTTAACGATTCATTGATTTCCAGCTCAGAACTGTTTCAATGCATTTTTAGTTTTTTTAGTTTCAATGTATAAAGGTTAGGGTCAGGGTTAGTGTGTGTGTGTGTGTGTGTGTGTGTGTGTGTGTTTTTTAACTGTAAACCTTTAAAAAACTTTTAAAAAAATTTAATTTTACTATCTTGTAGGTTTAATCTGACAGCAGAGGTAATAATAACTGTCAGAGAGAACTCCCATCATCACTGACAGAGAAAACATGGCCTCCCTCCCTCCTCCTCACTCCACCAACGCATCGGTTCACTGAAGTATGTCAAGATGAAAGTTTTGCGTGCGTGTCCGTGCGTCCCACCTGAGGAAGGTGTCCTGCAGCTGCTGTGGTAGAGCGGCGAAGTCGAAGGCGCAGTAGGACTGAGGCAGAGACACCTCCATGCCCCTCTGCAGCTCCACAGGAGGGTTGGTCATGATGGGAGCCGCGCTGCCAAAGAACTGATACGAATACCTGAGATACAACGACACACAACCAAACACATTAAAGTGAACTGGGTGCTCGGATATTTGACTGTTTTGGGGTCGAAAAACGGATCTGTGAAATTTCAATACACTTTCTTAAAAGAGCATTTAGAGGATGAAAGACAGGTATGCTTTTCAGTCTCATCTGTTATGGTAATAATGTATTTAAATGGTTCATTAGAAGTGGACAAACATAAAATGCCTGTGAGGTTGTGAGTAAAATATTTTCCTCCTAATGAACAGGAGCGTCTGAAGCCAACAGGTAAACCTCAGGTGAGATTCTGATGCGTGTAGCTGCTCGGAGCAGACGAGGTTTCTCACCTGAGTGTAGCAGCGATGGGGTGCGACAGGCTGAGGTTTCCCAGGCTGCGCAGGTCCATGGAGAAGCAGTAGTGATGGGCGGAGGAGGGGATGGACACTTTGGGAGCAGACACACTGACAGATGAAGCTCCGCCCTCTGCTGGAGCTTCAGTCCGACTCCGCGGCTGCACAGGAACCTCCAAATCTGCAGCTGGACACGTAAACAAACAGTGCCATCAGTCCTCCTCTTCACCCCAGGTCTGACCTGTGTAACGTCACGTACGAAACCGACGTGGTGTTTCCAGCTTCACCTGCCAGTCCCGCCTGCTCTCTGCCGCGCTGCAGCTCCTCCAGGAGACTCTCCGCCTCACTCTCTGTGTGAGAGGAAGCAGGAGGAAGAGGACGACCCGGGGGAGAAGAGGCACGAGGTTTTCGGACCGGAGACGGACTTCGAGGTCTCTGTTCAGCAGGAGGAACTGAGGGGGGGGCAGAGGGAGGGACGGAGGGTGTCTGAGCTCCGCTTCCTTCTTTACTCTTTAAAGACTGAAGAGAGACACACGACAACATCAACATGGAGGTGAATAAACTACAGCTGATCTCAGGCTGTTAGTGGATCCTGCTCATCACACACTGAAATCACTACATCCACTCAGCTCCTAACACTGTGTGCGCCGCTGTGTGTACCTGTGGAGCGACCTCCTCCCTTCTCAGACTAACAGCCACTCCCACAGTCGGCTGCAGGTCGGCGGGCAGAGCTGGCAGCGTCCGTCGTGTGCGTTTCGGAGGTTGGAGTATGAACGCTCCCTCCACCGTCGCCGCCTTGTTCTCCAGATCCACGCGAACCGTCGCCAGAGCGGAGAGAGAGACGTCTGTGCTGCCCAGAGAGTGATTCCCACAGCACAGGTGGATCTGAGGAGGACGGACAGACAGGGACACACGATGACGCCTGTGTCCCAGCAACATGTGGTTATGAGTCATCAGCCACACTCCGACTCTCACCTGTAAACTGGGCTGCTCAGACAGGAAGGCCTGGAGGATCTGTTTGCTGCTGCGGATGCGCACAGAGGCGCGCTCCGGCTCAAAGTCGGGGCTCAGCAGATTGTGGAAAGGCTCACTGGTGATGTCGTTGCTCAGTAAAGAGTAGTAGAAGAAGAACTCCGAGCCCTCTGCCGACAGCTTCATGGTGCTGGGGATCAACTGTGGGAACGACACAAAACTCAAACCTCACACTTAGTGTCTTTTTCTTTTCCTCAGCAGCACGTACAACAACATTTATCCAACTATAGCCTTTACACTTGATTAGTCAACTGTTTCTAGTCTTATCAATATATATCACAAATGTTCATCACCATTTATCTAAATATAAACTCATCATATTGTCCGATGAAGTCAGAAAAATCCAAATGATTCCTTTTACAATGAGACAGAGAAACACACAGAGACTCAGTGAGAAGCTTCAGATAGAAACAGTTTAGATCTGTGACTCATCAATGTTTATAACTTAAGCTCTGGGTGTGTTGACCTCAGCTGAGTTTATTTATTTTTTACATGAGAAAAGTGGAAAAAGCAACAGACTGTGGCAACAAAGAGAGAAATATTCCAGCCAAGAGAAAGTGAGGCTGGAGAGGTTTCCCTCACCTGCTCCAGTTTAGTAGCGAAGGCCACAGTGACGGAGAGGACGAACATGTCAGTGCAGTGATCTGCAGGTCCCACCTGATGGTAACCCTGGTCTGGGATCAGTACGGCCTCCAGCTTGTCAGGCAGCAGCTCAGTTACTGTTGGAGAGCCTGAACCAGAAGAGCAGAGAGAAAAGTATCACATCAAGTATTTTACCCTGATTTCACTTATCACACATTATCCTCCTCTACGCTCCCTGAGCTTTTCACAACCACTGGATCTGAACCTGAAGTGAATCTGACTCTGAACACAACGGCAGTAAATCACTGATCACAGATCTGTTTCAACAGGCTGGGAAACCTGCTGACACACCATGAAGGAAGAATTAGAAACATGGAAGAGTATTTATTCTAACAGGGAACACACACACACACACACACACACTCTGCACTGAGGTCCACACAGTACAGGTGGGATGTTAACACACAGGTCACATGCTGACTAATAAAATGCACCTGTCACTTCACAGAGGAAGCAGCAGCCATCACCTGGAGCTCTCCTCAAACAGAACTTCCTCCCCACATCATTAGAAATGATCTGACAGTCTGCACTGGGACTTCATGATATGCAAATAAAAATCATATTGCGATTATTTTAGCAGATTTTCCGATGGTTGTTTTTGCATCTCGTGACAATGATGTGATTTTTGTCGGTCTTGTACCAAACAAACATGTCGGGCGTCTCTGAGTCGAACACACAGGTCCGCTCACATCTGCTGAAAAGATTCTCTACTGAGATGAAGCTGTCAGGTTCGTATCAACTACTTGGTCAGCTGGTCGTCAGTGGACTGTCAGAGGAGTCTCAGGTATATTAAAGGTTCCTGTGTAGCAGCGACTTCGTTGACCTACATCTGTTATTACTGTTTTCTTCAAACACACTTTATATCAAGCCGAGAGGCTTTAAGAAGCACAGTCAGTGATTCTTCTAACACTGAGCGTTTTTAAAATATTGTCTAAGGTGCTGTACAAAGGGACAAATCGTTGTCAGGAACAAGAAAATAAAATTTGCTCCAGCAGCATCAACACTGTGACTCAGGAGGCTGCAGGAGTTTTTACTTTACAGTGGACGTAGACTCAAAGCATCAGTGCACAGGTTTGGAGATTGGAGTGAGGAGGACTCCAGAATCATGTTCAGCTCACAAAAAGTATGAAGTGACAAGTGAATCTTAAAAAGCCTCAGTCAGAGTGAGTTAGATCCAGGACTGACAGCTTACCAGAGAGACACAGAGGACAGACTGCCAAAAGAACGTGAGTCAGAAAAGTGTTAGTTTAAGTCTGTTCTCAGTTCTGAGGTAACATGCAGGAGATAAGACAAACACTGACTGACATTACAGCAGCACAAATAAAGCAAACAAGCATCCATGAACCAGCTGACCTTGTCGGGGCGGGGCCTTCTTGGCTTTGAACCTATCAGGAGAGGGTTCGGAGGTCTTGGTGTCGTTCTCCAGCAGCAAACCGAGGAGGAGGGCGGGTCTCTGCTTGGTGTATTTACTGCTCAGCAGAGGATACCAGCGAGGCTCCTGACAGACACGGCCAGAAGACGAGAGAAAAAAATAACATAATTTTCACTGGTCGCAGAGGACAGAAGCTGGACATCACCTGTCAAGGAGCGGGAGGAGGCATTTACCTGTCTGACCTCCTGCACCGATCGGAGGTCGAGGACGATGTAGCCGACGCTCTCTCTCCTCTTGCTGACAGAGTCGACAGTAAAACACTGAAGCTTGATGGGAGTTCTCTGCAATCTGGAGGACAGAGGCATCACGATTTAATAACACTACTGTGCCTCTCGGCTAAATCGCTCTTGGCTGTTTGTGATGTCGTTATTGTGAAAATTCAAACCTGTGTTGGTGCAGCGTCCTGCGGTCCAGCTCCCAGGCCAGCTCGGTGCTGAACTGCGGCTGCTCTCTGTGCTCGACCGGGTCTGTAGCCAGCTGCTCTCCATCGAAGCTCGCCTGAACCACCAGACTGAGCCGAGGACTCTTCGGGAAGTGACGACCTGGGAAAAGAGAGACGGCTTCACTCTCTGAAACATGTCCCCGGTACACGAGTCACAGTCTCAGGTTGGTAAATTACCACTTTCAGGGGTAGAGAGTCATTGTTCGGAGTCATATCTATCAAATCAATCAACATGTGGTCAGTCTAAGAATGACTTTCATTAGTTACAACATTGGCAAATGACTTAACATCATCTGGAGTCCTACTTCTCTCATCTGGTTGTTTTTTTTTGTGTTTTTGGATATGACACCTGGAAGTTCATCACTGTCTATTTAATATCACACAAATCTAAATCCTTGCAACCAAACAAATAAACAAAGAAAAACTCCAGTATTAAGAGACAAAATCAAAAACTCTGTGATACCAACCAGTGTGTGTAAATAAATTCAGTCTGCAGGCTGAAGAAGCTTAATACACACACAGTAACTGATCCACTCTACACAACAAACATACCTCAGTAAGTGATTACACCTGTGATTAACCTGATTAAGGCCAACTGACACCTACGACCTGGTCAAGTCTGTCCTCTGATTTAAACACAACAGAAAACCTTTAGAGCATTTTAAAGTAGAAGGTCGAGAAACTAAACTCTCCAGAGAAAAGCAACTGTCAAGAATCAGAACATCTTTCCACAGACTATCATCCATGTCATCCAAAATAAAACTTATAAACAAAATACATTACCATTTAAAAGAATGGGGTCACACTAATAAAGGATGTAGACTACTGAACTTTGTTGCAGTTGGTTCTTAAATAATCTTCTATTAAAGTTGAATTAGTTTCTGTTTTGAATAGTTATTAATTAATTCAATAGTGACTTCATCTCATTCTTCTTGAGTGTTGGCTACAAACAAATACAACTTTATTAAATGAACAGACTTTCGTTCATATTTTAGTTTTAAGGAACAGGAGTGTAATCAGTTGTGTTGTCTACTGTAGTTTGTCCCGACTACGTTAAGTTTAAATAAACATAACATCGTCCAAAAGTCGTGCCTGTGGTAAAAGTTCATTTCTAATCTGTCTTTTGCTCCAGCTCCGGGCGTCGTGCTCCAGTAATAACCGTATTAATAATTACTAATAATTGACATCACCAGCGGCAACAGTCTGCTTTAAACCAAACGCTTCAACCGTGACTAATGCCACCGTTGCAACCGCTGTGTGCTGATGCTAAACGTGTCAAACGACGTCAAAATATCGGTTAACATCGGTAAAATTAGACATGTAGCTTGTTTAAGAAGCGAAGTCATAGAGCTGTTGACCGGGTTATCCTACTTACCTTCCAGGATGGACACAACGATGAGAAGTTGGTCTGTCTTCGCAGCCATGTTAACATTTGTACACTCCGGCGGGAAACTTTCCGACAGTTTATTTAAAGAGTTTAAAGATCGCCTCAGACCTTCTTTTAATTCTGAATGTACTTGAAAAAACAACAACACTCAAACACAGCTGAGATTCCGACCGTTGCCGACAGCAAACAGCGGCTTTGTTGTCAAGCTTTGGCGCCACCCATTTTGTTTTAAAAGCGGAAGTGATGATGGCGACGGTTAAGATTTCAGCGCCCTCTGGCAGTAGGGGGTGGAACTGCACGTGTTAGTATAATATTACTACTGCTAGTTATACTACTGTTATTCGATAAAATAGAGTTAAAGTTACGATCCTAGTTTTTTTTTTACTTCAGTTACGGTATAGAATTTAGCTTTTAGTTTTATTTTGGTTCTTACCAACTTTATTTATATGTTGGTGCAATAGCATTGTAATGTGCTTATAATATTAATTAATTTTAAGTGTTTTTAACGTGCGAAAAAATACTTTTATACTGCAGTGCAGTGGTTAATTTCAACTGACTAAAGAAAACATGGGGAAAAAAATCCAATTATTTATTTTTTATAAATTTTTCCCACTGTGTTAATCATGAAAAGATGTTGGTAAATATAAAAATTGTGTCACTTTGGAGAAAAAAACAGACAAACAAATATATATAAACATCCTTTAATCATGATTGCCAAACATATGAATTAAGGCATATACAGTATAAAAAAGCAACAGCAGGTTTCATGTTTATACGATTTCAGTGTGTTATTAAATGGATACACCGGGTGGATGAACTGAACATACCAAGCAGCCTTTATAAGACAACACTGTGTCTCCCAAAAGTTGACAGCATTTTGTAAACAGAGTTCGTAGCACTATATTCAAGTAATAGAATGATCACTGATACTATGCAGGTAAGGTGTTGTGTAAGTGAGGCAGAGCTGCTGATAGACGAGGGTTTATTAACAGCCGTGTTGGCACCACAGTGATTGTAGGAAATTCAATCCATCATTAGGCTGCATTTACAAAAATTTAGACGTTATTCTGAATAGTTTTCCAACGTTTAGTTCGATTCCACATGGTGTGAACGCAGCATCGGGGCTCACAGTTTCAACTCAACATCTGGTGGCCATACTGGATTGTACTGTGCATTCAGTATCATCTAACTAACTAACTACTGCATCTGATCAACTAATGATGCAGTTTTGTTTTTGACAAACCTAATTAGTACACTAGCTCGTGTAGCTAGCAGCAGCTAGTGTGAGCACATTAAGAATAAGATGGTGATTCTGCTAACTAGCTAGCTATCAGCTGTTTTCACAAATATACTGCAAACAGCTCTGTTGATCAGCTGCTCCATTAGACTGGCAGTGTATGAATATGAGAAGAACAGCGTCACGGTCTGGTAGACGACTTTCAGAGCGAAGTGGACTCATAGAGCTGTAATGGCTTGACCCAACAGTGGCCTAACTTTGGCTAACCTGGTTGCTGGGCTTATGACAGATAAGGGTCAAGAATCAGCCCGTGTACGCTGGTCTGACCCCGACTGCTGACCCTGGCCCGAGTGCTGCTACCTGCGGCAGGTCTCAGTCCAGATCAAACAGAGTAGTTTAGGTACAGGACACACTGACACGTGTCCCGTGATGATGCACATCATGTGCCACCAGCATGTGGTGCCCTACATTTTCCACATCCAAGTTTTGGCTGTCATGCTGTATATGTGCCACAGCAAGGCCATATCTGATGTCTTAGCAGGCTGCCTCTGATTGTTGACTGCGGGCAAACAATGATGAATTAGACTGTGGTGAATGAGGCAAAACTTTCTAGAAGTTTGAAAAGATACTGCAATTTGTTTTGGTCTCAAATATGTCGTTATATCTGTGGAAACACTGCGTAATTCATTTTATGACTTTTTTTTCCCCCTGCGTCTGGCCAAAAATCACATCAGCACATGTATAGCAGCTTCAAACTTCACAGTCACACGTGACTCTACCTGTTTTTCTGGTCCAGGTTAGATGGTAAAAGTCATGATAAAGACAAATGTTGCCAGACACAACCTTGAAGATTTGTAGCCTGGAGAATCACCCAGTGTTCTGTGACAAATGGTTTAGATGTTGAAGACAACTAGCAGCACCAGAGTTTGGAGATGAGCGTGTGGTTTGTGGCTCAGACTGGTTACAGGCCGATATTGACGATGCTGGGCCGTATATCGTTGCTCTGGAGACGTGGCAGTGGAGTGGCACCCAGGGTAAAACCTGACCGTTCTGTCTATCAGAGGCTCTGCAGTGAGCTAGTTAGCTTGTAGAAGGCATGGGAGCAGAGGCGGGGCAAAGGATTATGGGACTCCAGACAAGGATGTATCCCCGCTGGGAACACTGCAGGTAAAAATGTGGACATTTTACTCCAAGGACAATTCCAGTGTGATAAGTTTCTATTGAATTCAGCATCACCATTTAGTTTTCCATCGCTATACTCAGCTGGTTTTCTATTTTTATGTTATCTTACTTGTTATTCAAACTAAATGTTATAAACATAAAGCATCAATTTAAACTTGTTGCCCTGCATTTGAAACTAAACTGAATTTAGCATTTTCTCATGGCGCTGCAAGCAAATGCTTTTACACACAGTTTCTAGGTTCCTAAAAACGATGAAAACTGGTGAACTCTGTGAATTAAAGCTCCTCCAGTGTAAAAGTCTCTGTCCATGTGTAGTGTGATTATAGATCAGCTCTAGCTTCTATATTAATACTGTGAAAGTATCAAAGCCTCAGTCCACAGAGAAATGCACACAGCCTGTATTCAGAAACTGAGCCTTAAAACCAGCCGTCAGGACTTCTGGAACTTTGTGATGTCACAACAAAGCAGTCACCAAGCCCCGCCCACCTGGACCCACCATCCAAACCTTTACAGGATTTGGTTTCTCTGAGTGTTTTTACCTGAAATCTGCTATATTTTTATTGGATCACTCAGAAAACAGTCAGCCAATCAGAAGAGAGGCTCAGAGCCTCCTCTCTTCTGATTGGCTCACCGACCTGTTGTTACTAGAGCTCCAGAGAGAAGCCTGAGAGAGGAGATGTAAAACTACACTGAGATGGTTTTTATATCTTCTGATGGATCAACACTTCAAATAAAACACAGAAGAAGAAGAAAATATGGAGCTTTAAATTAAATCCTATAGTCAGTGTGAACATTTCGATAAGTTCACCTAAATATAAAATCACTACTGTACCTGAGCAAACACAAAGTTCGGTCTAGAGTGTAATGCTGGCTGGTACTGCAGATCTAATGGAGATGTTAGAAAACTCAGTTGACACTGGAATTGTCCTTCAGGTGTTTGTGACTTAAAGTGTAACTGGTACCTCTCCCGTTCAAACAGAATCACTCACTGACATTCATCATTAGTATTCATTCACTTTGCCCCAGTTTGTGCCTCTGATTTTATATTCGAGACAGAGGTTGACAAAATCTCACTGGTGCTTTCAATCATATCGCATGATCTTCCTCAGCAGGTGGAGTTCAACCTGTTGTTACGGATTTGTAGATGGTCATTTTTTTCGGAGCACTGTAAGGACGTGTGGTTCATTTCCATGGCAACTGGCAGACTTCATCTGCTGATAACAATCATTCGGTGCGATTGAAAGATGTAGAGCTGCTGCTCAATGGACCTTGAGGTGAGATTGTTTTGTCAACTACAATATCTGAGACGTTTCCTGGGGAAGATTCAGGTAACAGACGTAGGTCACTCTCAGTCAAAACCTTGGGAGGTTTTTCTACGATCCTCACCAAGAGACAAGAATAATCCCCCCAGGCTGTTGATGCACGATCGAGATTCGTCACCACTCCTCGACCTAAACTTGAAATGAGAACTGCCTCTTGTCTCAGTGTGCGTCTTTGTTTGGGTCAAAGGACGGAGATACGTTGTGAAAAATGGGTCAAAATTCCTCTTCCTGGGGAGAGGGGCGTCTGGACTACTTTGCTAAACCTGCTGCCACCTCGACCCGACTCCGGATAAGCAGCAGAAAATGGATGTAGGGATGGATGGATGGGTCAAATTTCCAATTCACTGTACACTAAAGCTGACAAACGTTGGTTCATATCCGTTGGTAGAATATAATCCAAATCCAATCCAGGAGGATGTTGAGATATTTCACTGTACACCTAAAAAAAACTTGACCTGGCGCTTGATGAAATGTCACCAGAGTCATTTGCATTCACCATCTTAACAGCTGTGAATGTCCGTCCAAACTTTCATAGCGATTCGTGACCAAAGTCTCAGATATAAAAACACTGATTACTGAAGAGGCACGAACTGGAGCTTACATTTACCGGACGACTCACTGACTGTTGGCTCTCTCGTCATAAAACGCAGCACCAGAGACAACGTCAGTACAACATGCTCCCCCCGGGACAAACCGCTGCAGATGAACTGAGCTCAGCTGGTACACACATGGTGGTTCTGTTTGCGCTGGTTTCCCCTGCTCTGCCTGCTGCTCCCGTGCATGGCTGATGGAGATCAACATAGAGTACGATAAAGCATGTTAGTGCTCTGCCATGAATCTGTACAGAATATATACACCACTGGGTTCCTACATGGCACTGGGCAGGTCGATGTGAAGGTTTACTCTCACATAAAGACAATACAATCAACATGGTTACGCTCAAGTACAGGTTAGTAATACAAATGTAGTGTCAGCACTATGGAGGGAGGAGGACCACTTCAATAATCATAATGAGAATAATAAGGATAATAATAGACTTTTTAGCTTCCTAATGCTGTTTCCCAATAGAAGTTTAAAAAAACGATCAACACTATTGGGATAAAGTAAGTCATCATCAGTACATTCAGTCATATCATCATCATAATACACTACGATAAATGTGCATCTTATAAAGTTGAACACCACAGCCGCGGTCGGGCGGAGTGCACCGCGCTCTGGGATGTTTCGTTTCACACGCGCCGCCTGCTTCTGTCAAAACTCTGCAAAACTGAAAGCTTCAAAAGTCTGTGGTTCTGGATTTGTACAGGTAGTTACTCCTTCAAAAAAGGTCCCGGTCCTGGTTCCCATTCTCTTGTCTGTCCCTCTGCCGGCCCATCTGCTCCTGGATGATGTGTTATAAAACAGGTGGCTGTCATTAGTAAGAAATGAAAGAGGTTTTTTTGTTTTTTGTTCTCTGCCTCTCAGCGAGGCGAAGCTTATTCAACACCATGGAATTGATGTCTGATAAATCTGCCGTTCCTCATGTGAGACGTGGTCACATGGTCCTACTTCTTCCCTTCGCCCTCTGTGGAGACAAGAGGAAAAGACATTCAGACTGAACACTGAGCAAATTCTTGAGACATTCTACACACAACAAAAAGCAAGAGGGGCACGGCTGCGGCTCAGGAGGCAGACCGGGTCGTCCAATCATTGGTTTAGGTTCAGCTCCTCCGGTCCATGTGTCAACGTAACCACCACTGAACCACAAATTGCTCCTGATGGTCAGACCAGTACCTTTGGTGGTAGCTCGCAGCCATCAGTGTGTGAATGTGTGAACAAGACGAATTGTAAAGTGCTTGGGATAAAAGCACAATATAAATGCAGCCATTTCCCATTTACCAGCCATTTACCAAGTTGAAAGAACAAGTGCTTACAGCTCTAGGCAGCACAAATTGTTGAAAATGTTTCAGACGAAGCAAAGCTTTCAAGTTAATCTGCATCCAACTGCAACGGTAAAATAAAATAACTTTAACAAAAAAAAAAAAAAAAATTGTTTGTTGCTGTGGATTCTCTGAAAGTTAACAACCTCAGCCATTCAAATCAACTATCATCTTCTCTAACGTCTTTCTGAAAGGCAATTACTCAAAAACTAAACATGGTCAGGAGAAAGGCCGACTGTCCTCCAGCAGAGATCGAGCCCATCGCTCTGTCCACACACACGTTTCAGTCGGAGGGCTTGTTGGAAAACTGTCGGCACTGATGCAAAATATATGAGATTTGTAACTAAAGGACTAAACGCCACATTCACCCCGTTTACACACACCAACTTTTTACGTGTGTGTCAACAAACTCCCAAAATTACTGACGCCAAAGCCAAATTATAACATTAACACTTTATCATTATCTCATGAAATTATACAAACGAGTGTCATCGCTCGCAACCGTGAGATAAAGTGACGACAAATAAGATACAAGCTCATAAAGAAAGAATGTCTGGACAAGATACAGATTACCATTATGACCACCATTTGTTATTTCAAGACAATGAGATAATTCATGTTGTAATGCATCCAAACAGTGTGAGAAGATAAGGAGATAATGAATTAGTGATCTTCAGATATCAGGCCTGAAAAGTTGCTCTGGTTTCTTTACAGAACTCCTGGTTTTCTTCTTCATTTCTCTGCTTTAATTTCACTCCCGTTAATCTCCTCTATTTCACAGCAATTACCATTTATAGATAACTTCAGTCTCCGCACCAGTAAGGTAATCATCACATTATGCTGTTTAACTGCCTGGCAGGTATTCTCTGCATTATTTCACACTATCAAAAAAAGGCGGTGATATATAGCCCGTAAAAATATATGGAAAACACTGCGCAGTGGGTAATGATCTCCTGGATTATAATTTAAGCAACAAGGCAGGAGCGTCACAGAGTCAAATCAGCAGCGAGCTGTGATTCCCAGGAGAGGAGGTTTAGATATTAGATTTATTGACCCAGCAGACGGTGTGAAGATGAGACAATTCTCCAGCTCGTTTTGCTCTCAGCTTGCGTTTCATAAAAGAACATTTTAGCCAATTCATTTCATAAGATGCAAAGTAAGTGGATAGTCTTTTGAGTTTCGATCAACATCAGAGATGAAGAAGATCTTCGACACAGAAACTGACAAATAATGATCAGAGACGCTGGAAAAGACCCCACAATGAGGCCACTATAGTTTTGTTTGTTTGTGTGTGTGTGTGTGTGTGCGTATGTGTGTGTGTGTGTGTGTGTGTGTGTGTGTGTGTGTGTGTGTGTGTGATGGTTTTAATACAAGAAAACACAGGCTATTGTTCAGTGTCTTATCTCAGTTAAGTCAACACTTAACTTAATCTAATGAGCATTTATGCTCAATTTAATCATTGACAGGGGCATGGCAGACGGGTAATGTGGATTAAATTAAGTAATGTAAAATAGTGCAATAATTTACCAGGTTAACCTACTGAATCATAAATGTGATTTAAAATGAAATCCACTTCTTTAAATTAGTGAATAATAGCATCATCATTTCATAATACTGCCAGCTGAGTCTGAGTAGTCTTGTTACTTTAAATATAGGAAATCTGTCTTCTACACCACAAAAACTAAAAATAAAATAGTATGAAAAGTCACTCCAAGTGGTTCCCTATCAAGAAATAAAATTGGGAAATGTATGTTTTGATGCTTTGTTTTAGAATGAGTGTGTATGTTCAAGCATGTTCAAGCTAAAACAGGGTGTTCAGTTGCTGCTAAAAACTTGAAGGGGCTATTTGTAAGTTTTGCTATTGCTACATAGCTAACGTTAGCATTAACAGCTGTTTACTCACCAGTCTAAAAAAAAACTTTGCAAGATCAGTATCAGACTTAATTCCTTTACTCTTTTGCTTCTATTTCTTTCACTTATTTTTCTCTACTGAAGTCAGCATGCTAATAAGCTAGCCCTGGCCCAGGCAGCCAATCTTGTCACTTTCCGATACCGAGTCACTGTAGTGTTCAGTCTGCTATGAAGAAGTAGCCGCTCAGAGGGCGTAGTATAACTTCTTCTATCGTAAACACAACCATGGCTGATTCTCTTGCCAAGTCTGGTAAGTAAACAGCTGTTAATGCTAACGCTAACGCTATGTAGCAATAGCAAAACCACAAACTAAAAATTGCTCCTTAAAGTTCTTCAAATTCAAAAACATGTATTTCTCTTCAAAACATTGGAAGTAAACTTCGTCACGAGCCACAGTCTGGTGGTAACTAGTTAAACGTACCAGTAGAGGAGTGTCCTGACACCTGCTGACTGGAGACCAGCGACCTGGAGCTCAACCCTTCAACACACAGAGGAGAAAATACGCAGTTAGAAAATCTGACAGAAGACAAGACAAGTCCAGCTTCCATCACATCCTGAACAAAACATTTATATTAGCAAATAAACTGTAAATCAAAGTTCCTCTCGAGATTTTCTGTCCACAAGATGTCAGTCAGGAAAAGCAGACAACAAGCTCCACTGTGCGTCAGATGGTTTGTGCTGATGATTTATTTGGGAATATGTACAACTTTATTACCAGATGTTTCAGTGTTGTGCTCAAATGTTACATAAGTTCTGTTGCATTCCTCAGTGTAATGTTTAATCTGGAGCTAGGATGTATTATAGCACACACTGGATAAAGGGTGGGAGGAACAGGGGGTGAAATGGGCAGCATGCATGTTAATCCTGCCACACCAAGATGAATGAATCTCTACTACCACGACACAGGACATCAACATTTTATCATACTTATCATTTTAACAAAGATAAAACAACGATTGTGCTCACATTCATTCATGACTGTATGTCACATAATTCTTAGTGACAGACGTTCTTTTTAAAACTAAAAATTAAGAGCAAATGTTGGGTAGAGATAATGCTGGCTAGTTGTCAACACGTCTAATAACAACCTGTTTGTTCTGTGCAACCAGAACATTTTGTCTGGGACAAATGGCGTCTGTAAAAACCACTGAATGTTGAATTTATTTCAGGATATTTAACCTCGGTCTCAAGCTTCACTCAACCTTGACAAACTCTACACTGTTTGAAAGCTCTAACTCTCCTGATTCTGTCTGTGCAAAGTATTTTAAATCACTGCAGCAGCTGTTGACACAGAACTGGTTCAGACTTGTGATTCTCAAGTGTTTTCAGGTTTTATATTCACTTTTTATGCTCAAAAATACATTTCTGCCATGTTTATTATGGGTATATTTGTGTATAATAGTGGTGACAGGTCAGTGTAGTTGTACCTTGGTAGATGTCATACTGTCCTGACATCAGGTTGTAGCTCATACCCAGGTGTGTGTGATGGTGTGTGTGGAGGTGTCGGGCGAACGACACGTGGTTCCTCTCTCTCTCCGTCTCTCGCTCTGCCTCGGGGGAACCCTTCTCACCAGGCTGTAGAAACACACACACACACACACACACACACACACACACACACACACACACACACACACACACACACACACACACACATTTGGATTTACGCTGCGTCTATTTTCCCGCCTCTTGAGAGTCACATTAGGACATTAACATGACTGGGCGTGATGACACTGAAAAGAGCAGAATGAAGTGTTAAAGGTCAGTAAATCTGTGTATGTAACAGTCAAAACTAAGCAGCAACTAAAATTTCTCTCTCTACAAATACAAAGACGAAGCTGTGGAGGTTGAGATGAGGTTGTCCTCCTCTCACCTCAGCTCTACTCAGGCTTCAACTTTATTACCAGAATTTGATTTGTCTGGCTCTAGTCACTGAATAATTGCAAATCTGAGAGTGTTTCCATGTAGACTGGGACTCCGGGTGGTGCAGTCGGATATAAAACTTAAGCTAATGCCTCTTAGTGGAAGTACGGCACATCCACATCATGTCCAGATGTGGGTGGAGAGGCGATAAGTCACTTAACAACTGAATCACCTGAAGGATTTGAAGAGAATAATCAAACGACTGTTTCCAGGGTCAAGAATGAAAGTTCCCCTCTAAACTTTACGGATCATAAAAAGGCAAGTTTCCAAGTTTCTGTTGATAAATTTCCAAAGTCAGCTGCAGTATTTCCCTGCAGGCAGCCATTGGATTCACTGCACTATGAAAAGCAATCACACTTATAAGTGAGTGAGTAGTTTGAAGGCGTCTCAGTTTTAATAATGCTATGACTGCTTTTGGTTTTGCAGTTACAACAGTGTTGCAGGGAAATGCAGAGGCCAGTGGAGAATCATTGATTATTTCTGACATGAAAGTCTCATGTGAATTTAACATGATGGTTATCGGTTCCTAAAACCACAAATATATCTTCTTATGGATCAATACTACAGGAATAGTGTAAAATATGGACCTTTAAAAGTGTAGTTATTCATTTGTATGTTTTTGTGTTGATGTAACAGCTATGACTTTCACCCTGGTGTAATATGATGTATGGTCTTTACTCAATAAAATAATTACAATATAAATGTACCTGTCGCTGTGTGTTAAATGTTTAGGAAGCATTAGCATCACTTTTTACAAGTCAGGATTTTAACTTCTGATTCCTGTTGCGTTGTGTTTAACCTTCTTTACTGTGATCGTCTCCTGCTGCGTTTTTTGTCTGTGTTCAGCAGGAAACATCAGATCTGTTTCTTGTGAAGGGGAAAAGAAAAACATTTAGAGGTGTGACGCTGTGAGCTGCAGTGTGGATGTGGCAGTAAAGTGAGCGGTGTCTCACAGCAGGAGATTTTCCGTGGTACTGATGGCTCTGCTGCTGCAGCAGCTCCATGGCTGAGGACGAGGACGAGTCGCCGCTCTGCTTGCCGCTCACTGCTCCTCCTCTGCCGGGTGGAGTCACCTCCGACTCCTCCCTGCCCGCTGTCTTACCGTACAGAGGATAGTGGAAACCTGGTGGACACATACACAGATACTTGACTTTCTCTGGCCTTCTACAACAAAGGAGTGTTTGTTTACCAAATAGTTAAAGGGGGCTACAGTCTATAATGTAGTGATCCCACCACAACATGGCCTCTAGTTTACACATCTACATTTGTTTCTTGTTTTGTTGCCTGCATCTTTCACACATTAAAGGTGTTTCTGTCATGCAGAAAGCCAAACGTTTCTTCTTTAACGTGACATCTGAATTTGTGTCATAAAAGGTCCTTAATTTTTCAGTAATGGTGCAAATTCAGCAGCAGCTTACTTAACGAGCTTTATGGGGTTCATCTCACATTTGGTAAGTGATACATAAATTCACACATTATATCATATTAAAGACTTTTAAGGCGGTTTGTGAATGAATTAAAGGAGTTAAAACACTTAGCTTTGATGATGGTGCCGGTGCAATAACTATTTATAAAGTGATTCCTACCCTTTTAAAATCACTTAAACCATGTGCAAACCCTATTAAAAATACCTTAACTTATTACAGACTCTTCCCTTGTTATTCATGGGGAAAATCAACATATTTAAGGCAAAATACAAACACCAGATTGGCTTCCTTCCCAGAAATACTTTACAAACACAAACCTCTTCTGTAAAACACTCACTGCAATTTTCTAATTCACCTTTTTATGTTGTCTCCCACTTGTTGATGATAATTACAGTATGTTGTCAGCGAAGCCTCACTGTGTTAACAAACCCACTTTGAGCAGTGTATTAGTTACAAGCAAGCAGCTGCTAAATGAGGCTGTAGGCACTAAGCTAGCTAACAGTTCGGCTAACTTAGCCGAGTCTCGTCGAACTCCGATAAGCTCGGTGTGTGTTGGAGACCATTTACTGTGTCTCATTAACCTCCGATTAGAAACACGCCACACAACGCACACTCCTTTTCTTTAGTGGAGCAGATTTAGACATTAGTGAACCAGTTTTCCAGTGACACTCTTTATCATCACCAGTCTGATTTCTGGGTGATTTATGATGGAATTGTCTTTGTGTTGTTTATCTTTGCTTCAGAACATTAAATATATGCTTTACTAAGTTATCTGTGTTCTCCTGGTAAAAGTCACTGCAAAGGAAAAGTAACGCATTCTTGAATACACTGATATTTATTAGGATATGATCTTGATTGTATTTAACAATAAACTCTCTTGGAGTGTTAACATGTTAGCAACCAGCCGCCTCCTTCCACATCTACTTCCATTATCATCCTGTTGGAGTGTTTGTGTCCACCTGCCCAGTATTCACTCTCCTTTTCACTCTGGTTTGGTCTCCACCGGCTCTCTGCTGCTAAACGACTCTAGAAACGATGTTTCTATACAACTAAAGTGCAACAGTAAACATGTTTCGTAGGGAACGTAATCTCTGGCTGGATTATGTTCCGAGGTAACTTCCTTTTTCAATGATGTTGAATGTAAAACAAACACTGCTGAAACATTAAGTGACATTTCAATGCCTTCATGGCTCATACATCCACCGACAGCTCAGCTGCTTTCATCTCTCACTCGTCAACTGTTGGCTCAACTATTGTCACACTTATAAACTGATGATTCAGCTGCCTACAAGGTTTAAACTTTAAACTGACACTTAAACTGGAGCACCAATATAATATTTCACATACACAGGAATAGTATTTTAAGAGCGTAAGCGAGCACATTTAAATGATTTCTTTCTGAAGATGTATCCTCTAGTTGCCTGTGTATTCGTCACTTTGAGCTATTTTATGTGTTAATATAAAACGTCCTCGTTAGTTAAGCATTAAAAGAACAGTTTGACATTTTGGGAAATATATAAATTTGCTTTCTTGCTGAGAGTTAAATGAGACGTTTGCATCTGTTCAGTGGTAACAGATCCTGCCACCAGCACCTCTAAACCTCACTGATATATTACATTATTATTCCTAGTTTGTTTCATTTGTATTAAAAAAGGCAGGTGAGCTGTTTCCCCGTTTCCAGTCTTCGTGCTAAGACTCTTACCTGGGTAATTGTGGACCAGGGTTGGGGACACCCCTCTGTAGGAGCCCCCGCCGCTCTCACACATTGCCAGGTAGGGCGGGTAGGAGGAGTGCTGGTACTGGATGTAGGGCTGCTGGGGGGTCATGGGAGGAGACACAGCTGCCCGGGCGCTCTGGGACTCCTCAGACAGCACTCCTATTGGCTCCTGGCCTTGATCATCCAGCCCCTCCAGCCGGTCCGGATCCTCTGCGTCGATGGCAGGCGGGAGATCGTGGGATCCGTGGACCCTGGCCTTTTTAGCGTCCCCGCCCACACCTGCTCCTCTCTCTCCTCCTCCTCCTCCTCCTGAGGTCATCTTGGCCCCGGCAGGCTCCACGGTAGCTCCCCATTCTTTCCCCCTGTCTGCTTCACCCTCCTCGGCCTCCTCTCCATGTTGACTCTGTAGCTCTGAGTATTTGCTGTGAGCGAGGCGGTGAGCCCAGGCGGGGCCGTCTGAGGGCTAGATCGATGGGGACAAGAGTTGGTGCTAGTTGCAGTGTTTCCCCTATAATTCTTTGTTAACAGTGGTGGGTGGGAGTCATTTTGAAGTTGGTTCAACTTCGGTCCTTGTCTCTGTCCCAGTTTTTGTTTATATGGCCAGTTGCAGAGCTAATGCTAAATACCTTTTTCATAATAAGTCTAAACGTTAGCGTTTTGTCTCTTAAGTGGTTTTTTTGGAGGGAAAACAAGGCTAATTTAAGACTTTCATTTCTACATATTCTTATTCAAGAGTGAAGGGGGGAATTTCTTGCTGCGGCGGCCCACCGCTGCTGAATGACTATAGGGGAAACACTGTGTACTTGAGTGAACAGAGCCATAGACAGACCATCTATCACTGGCTCTGGGTGTGATGTTGATGAAGGATGACGACGTTTCAACAGCAGGCGGCCATTCAGAGGTGGGATGTGAAGGAGTGTGGCGTCCCTCCCAATGACCACGCATCAAGACACGTCTCACACATGATCAACTGCGGAATTTAGGCCAAACTGAAGAAAAACACGACCTACCCTCCCCCGACACGGCGTTCATTCAATTCATACAACCTTTTTTTTTTTTTACATGATGCAGTATGGCTAGAGTTAGCTGTTAAATGCATTGTGAGATGACACGGTTAAAAATCTGTACAAGTTTTCTGAAAAAGCAGCTCATATCAAAACCAACAGTTACGTATTAGAAAGGTTTCCTTTGTTCCTTTGTGTGTTTATGTTTTACATTTACAGCTAAAGTTGGAATTACACATTTCCTCCATTTAATTCTCACTCTAAACATTAAAAACATTTTTCATCCATCAAATAAAACTACACTTTTTTGATTTCAACCAGAATGACTGAAGTAGTTTGCCAAGGTAGAGCTGCAGCACCACAGAAGCCACACGGTCTTTGTTATTAGCACCTATTGGTTTAGCTGTATACAATGTGTGATTAATCTCTTTGTGACACTCAACAACAGTCATTAAAGCACACCAACAACACCATCGGCGGCGGCGGCAGGTTATAGACAGAGGGAGAAACTTACACTGGAAAAGGAAACATTTGAGTCCAGATCTGTCTGACTGTTTGGGTTGTGGAGTGATGAAGAAGAGGAAGAGGAGGGTGACTTGATGTCATCACAGTCTTTCATCGAGACCTGGTGCTGGTCCACCATGCCACCGTGCACAGCCTTTAAGCCCAGACTCTGTCCCCTTTCTCCTCTCTCACTCATCTCCACGTAGGACAGGACGGGTTTGGGACAGCAACCTTTAGCGCCGTCTGGACCTTTACCTAGCATGGGTCCCCCGACTGAACCCCCGACCATATGTTTAACGTCCTCACTGTCTCTCAACCCCTGTCCCCTCTCGCCCCTCTGCTTGGCACTGGGCGTCTGGTCACAGCATTTGGAGGCCAGTAACAGTTTCTGGTCCATGTAAAGTCCTCTGGAGTACTGGCCATAGTACAGGGACTGAGCCAAGGCGGTCTGGGTCTGACTCATGGCCAACTGGAGCTGAGACTGAGGCGGCCCGTCGCCTTTCTTAGAGTCTGTGAACTCGTGGGAGGAGCTTTTGTCATCCTCTTTCACTTCTTCCTTTCTGTCTTTCCCTTTGCTGTCATGGGAAGAGCTTTTGTGGAAAGCGACGCTGCTGCTGTTCTGCCTGTCCGAGTGCATGTACCCCTGCAGGTAGTAGGGCTCGTAGCTGTGGTAGTACGGGGATTGGGAGTCTTTAGATGATGGGGCAGATGCTGTGGGTGGGGTTTTACCAGAGTTACCATGGTTACTGTTAGAGCTCACCTCGGAAGAGGCCGAGGAGGCAGACTTGGATCTGAGTCCATCCGAGCGACATTCGGAAGATCCCCCATCGTCCCCGGCATCTGAGATGTCAGAGTAGGCGGGGCTGTTGTTCTTGCTGCTGCTGTCTGCTGTTGCCAGGCAACTACCACTTGCATCTAGCCGTGACGAACCTCCAATGGAAGGACTGGGGGCGTTGTCAGTGAAGGTGTAGACCTTGTCGGCCTCTGCACGGATACTCGCCATCCTGCTCTCCTGGCTTTCAGTGAGTCCGTTCATCACATCCTGCTTACTGAGGTGCTCCTTCAGAAGGCTTCCAGAAATCTCCTTGACACCCATTTTGGATCCACCGCCAACATCTTCCATTTTGATTCCACCACTGTCTCCATTGGGCGTTCTGGTTGGCGCATCTTTATGTTTGTCCTTAAGCCTCCGTTTCTCTTTCTTCCTGGTCTCTTTGCTGCAGGTGACCAGCGTGGCTTTGACGAGGCTCGGCTCCACAACGATGCTCAGCTTTGGTTTGATGGGTTTCAGGGGAAGGTTTTTACTCGTGAGGCCCACAGCTGCCATGGGAGAGGGCTGCTGTGAGGTGGCAGTATCTGCTGTGCCAGAGGGATACGTTGCGTTGGGTATGGCGATCAGCTTGGGAGGAGCAGGGGCTGGAGCGATTGGCCGGTTGGTCCGTGACTTCGACAGCTTCTCTACCTTCCCATTGGCCTTCTTGCCCTTATCGCATGCACCTCCCTTCTTGTCGATCAAACCTTCAGCTTCCAGCTTGGGCATCTCGACCGTGGAGTTCCTGTCTGGGACCATGCAGTTCTCGAGAACCACGGTCATGTTGGAGATGATGGGCAGATTGCTGAGGTCATCGATCAGCCCATCTTTTAGCAGTGAGGTTCTTCTGGTTTTGGAGTTGGCTGTGGGGCTGTGGTCGGTACTGAGGAGTAGCCGTCTGTTCTTAGGGGACCCTACTGTGGTAACCTTGTACAGAGGAGCAGGTTTCTTTGAGGAACTGTTGGCATTAGTGCTGTTGTTTGTCTCTGAGAGGTCATATGTCATGTTGCTGATGGTGTCCTCACAGTCTGATAGTCGTTCCTCACTCTCCCCATCCTTCATGGGCTCCAGCTCAGGTTTCCTCTGCTCTTCAGCCTCCAGGTGCGCATGTGTCTGGTGGTAGCGCAGTCCGTTGATGTGCTTATAGCGTTTAGTGCAGTTGGGGTGAGGGCAGTCAATGAGAATGGGTGGGGGAGGTGGCGAGGAAGCACAACCTCCTCCTGGATCCATGAATGAAGGGTCAGATTTGCCCTGCGGCGTGGACGGGGCGCTGCGGGATTTGGCGCGAATCCGCTTCCCGTTTCCATTTTTAATGTCGTCAGCAGCGACAAGGCTGAGGTCCAGGTCAGCCGGTGGTTTGTTCTTTCGCTTCCCAGACGAGAGGGTGGAGGCGCTGTTGGAGGATTTCACCTCCTCCACAGTGAAGAAAGAAGGAGGAGTTCGGCAGTTGCTGTTGATGAGGTTCAGGCTGCCTCTCCGTCCCTTGCTGTGGATAGGTGCAGTGGTTCCAGCCACACCACCTCCACGGCTCCTGTGCTGCGACAGACCCCTGACTTTGGCAGCGGGGGCCGGCTCAATGCAGGGCCGATCAGCCATGGCCATTCGCATCCGTTTCCCTCGGCCACGCCCACCTGGCAACTCAGGGTCACTGGAGGGAGACTCACAAAACCTGGACAGAGGCAGAGAAAAAGAATGGATTTAGAAGTGAACTCCTCTTAATAATCACTTACTGACACCCTGGAATGGACATGAGATCCATCTGATTGTTACGTGTCGTTTAGTGTGAGGTCGTATCAAATCACGTCTTACTACATCCCGTTGTACCGCTTTGCATCGTATCACACATCCTACCTCAACACGCCGTATCGCTTTGTGTCGTATCACTCTGTGTCATATCGCTTTGCGTNGCCTGGAATGGACATGAGATCCATCTGATTGTGTCGAGTCGTTTAGTGTTGTGTGAGGTCGTATCAAATCACGTCTTACTACATCCTGTTGTACCGCTTTGCATCGTATCACACATCCTACCTCAACACGCCGTATCGCTATGTGTCGTATCGCTCTGTGTCGTATCGCTCTGCGTCGTATCGCTCTGCGTCGTATCGCTCTGTGTCGTATCACTTTGTCTCGTATCACTTTGTGTTGTATCACATTGCGTCGTATCAAATTGTGTCGTATCACTTTGTCTCGTATCTATCACCATGCGTCATATAATTACGCATCGTATCACTTTGTGTCGGATCACTTTGCGTCGTATCGTATCACATTGTGTTGTATATCATTTCATGTAGTATCACATTGCGCCGTATCTATCACCGAGCATTGTATCACTTTGCGTTGTATCATTTTGCGTCGTATCACATTGTGTCGTATACCATCATTTCATGACGAATATCATAATTTCATGTCGTATCACATCGCGTCGTATATCATCATTTCATGTTGTATATTATCATTTCATGTCGCATCACTTTGCATGGGATCACTTTGCTCCATATCTCATCACTTTGTGTCGTATTGCATGCTGTCATATCACCTTGTATCAGATTGTGTCATATCCTTTTGCATTGCATCACTTTAAATCAAATTCTATCATATAACATTATAATGCATTGCATCACATCATGTCACATTGTATCATATCATTTCACAGTGTATTGTTTCACATAGTATTATACTGTGGTGTAATGTGTCACGTAATGTTGCATCAAGTTCCTGAAAGCTTCTTAAATCCTGTTGGGTAAACTGAACAACACATCAGACCATCAAACTGAAAACAAAGCTGTTTTTCTTGTTGATGCCGATGTTCTTGAAAGGTTTTAACGAAGAACAACTTGTTCCTATCATCACCCAAATTGAACTCTTGTACCATCAATACCTCATACCATCAGACAAAAACCTTGGAAGATAACAGATTATCATTCAAGGCTTATGTGGACCACTTTACCCAGACGTCAAGGATAAAAATTGATTTTTTTTCTGTACAAAGCCTGCTTCTCTTTTGATAACATAAAAAAACTGTACAATCCACAGTTATCTCTGTGTTTGATATGGAGACATTCTGTATTCACATGCCGTCCCTTCTGCTTTGAAGTCTTTTGACGTTGTTTACCACAGTGCCTTGCATCTTAACACTGGAGATGCTTTTCCACACTCGCACATTGTTATTTATATAAAAAAACCTGAGTCTGCTGAGATGAGGAAAACAAAATGCTTTATATTTATCCACAGTGTACAGCTCTATTTTCCAAGCCGGACCCTGAACCTTGCATCTGTGCTGGCCTTTTACTGCATTAATTACGACACTACATCACAGGAGTGGTTGGTGTTAAAGACTCACTGAATAAATTCTGACCTTGGAAAGGCTGTTTTGGGTATTAATCACCTTATTAATGGAACAGACTGCAGAGCACGTTGAGACTAGACTTTCTTGTCCCCCTCTGTGATTTTAAAACGATGATATCTCACATTTCTTGTGATGTTTGTAATTGCTTTTTTTTTTTTCTTTCTTTCTTTATTTTTTTTTTTTTACATCACCGTGTCCCTGAATGTCACTGAAGCTGTGGGAACGTGCTGGTGAGATTTTATGTATTTTCTTTGGCATTTCAAGGATATTTCTTGCTCTTATGCCACTATTCCAAAAGCAGTTTTGATCGATTGAGTGATGTAGCCTAGATGCTTTCTTACAACCCAACTCTTTTTTTTTGTTGTTAATAACCTTGTTTTCCATTTGTGTTTGCAATTTTAATTCAATCATTGCATCTTTTATCTTTTGGTTACAGCCTGATAATGAGTCATCAAAGAGGAAGCGTTTTATTCCATTGAAGTATAGAATAAAAATGCATTCACTCGCCACCGACAGACATCCGCAGTGACAAGAGTCCAAACGAAAAAAGCAATTTAGCGCCTGCTTTCTGAGATTAAGCTGTAATTGCCATGACAACAACCATTTACATACAGGAGCAATAATTGAGAGGTTTCAGCCCTGTGAGGAGGGACTGTCACATTTTCCACTCAGCAATTACAAAAACCACTCTCCATTTATAAAACAGTTGTGCTGGAGAGTGGAGAGCGTTTTTGTTAAAGCTCATCATGGAACAACAGCTGACAGCCCCAGAGACAATTTAGCTTTTTTTTTTTATCATTTTACCGACATTAAAGCACTTAAAAAAAAAAAAAAAAAAAAAAAAAAAAAAGGTGCTCTTTTCAGTTAATCAAAAAAAACAATCACCTGCAAATACAAGCCAATAAGAATAACAATAAAATGGTTAAACATGACAGATCAAAGAGGGGAATAAACTGAGCAGAAGTAAGTCGGGATAATTATATGAGGCCTGTCCATAAAAATGTGTTTACAATTACAATAAGGATTGATTTCAAATTTAATTTTAGTCGTGACATCACCAGTCTGAGCGCTGACGACAGCTGTGTCACACAAAAAACACAGTTTCTGTACATGCAGACATTTACAATGGAAACACACAGCACAGCACCAGCTCACCACGCAGCTTCGTTGTTTGCGACCACAAAATAAAAGTGTGTCCTCATTTTTTTTTACCCCGTGGCGACGTGACAAGCTGTCACAATACAAACTTGAGCAAAACGATGTGCTGTGCTTAAAACTGAATTCAAGGTTATCGGCAACCGCCTGGGCATGGGGACAAATCCACGAACAAACCTCGTGGTGAAGGAAGAGGCAGCGCTCCATATATTCATTTTTCTTTTTTCCATTACTGGGATCTTTGCAGAACCTGAAAGAAATACTATTCCAATAATCTGTGTTTGCAGTTAAACACTGAGGCTTGTTACTAACACGGTTCACAGTTTATGAACCTAAACAAACATTTTGTGTCCTGAGCTTTATTTTGGCATGTTTTGGAGAGTGTTTGGTGCAAACTGTACATTGAGATATGAACAAACAATGTGGGGTTTTACAAGTTTTTTTTGATGCCGTAACCCATTTCTACTGCTGCAAACCCAAGCTGACTGTAGCTGGAGCAAAGGAGCAAAATGCAAAATCTGGTCTTGTGTTTCAGGGGCGTGTGGAGTCCAAAGTAACATCACCTAAATTTCTTCTTTCTTTTGATCTACAGAACAGAATAACGACATTTTCTCTAGGAAAAGTCAAAGAAATGAACACCATCAACTGTAGACAAACAGATCAAATAACAGTTTTATGAAGTAGATTTATTATTAAGTTGCTCATTAAGCAGTGGTGGGGAAGCAGAGCTTTGCAAGCTACCAATTACTTCACACTGGAAGAAGTTGAACTATAGCAAAGCTACCCGAGGGAGAAATCTGGTTTGGATATTAACTAGAGCTACTAAAGAAAAAGCAGTTCAACCTACTTTAAAAAAAAAATTAAGAAATTGAAAATGTACGTGTGATATGAAATTATAACAAAATACAAAAGAAGAGTTTATTGCAAAAAGAGCCTCTTTGTTGACTGGTCATAAATAAACCAAACACCTAAACCATTCACGGGAAAGAGCTTTGATTTTATAAACAATAAGTATGGCCACTGTGATTTTTCCTCAGGCTGAGATTCGAGAGCTGAATCCATGATGACGCTGAAGCTGTGTGTTCACTACGCAACGCCCGCCATTGGCTTTCGCACATGCATTACACAAAGGTCAGGATGAAAGAAAAGGGCAGTGGGGCTGATGAAAAAGGGCTCAGCTACACTGGAGAAGGAATGGTGAAATAGAAATAAAAGAAAATGTTTTGTAGCTTCAGTATTTAACGACACAAAAAACATGCAAGCTACTGCAAAATATAGTTAAACTGTTTTTTACATTTCGCCATGATCGTTTTACACAGTCGCAATACAACTGCAAGGGAATCAGTTCTGCAGTATGTTTGATAACCAGTTCACAGTCTGACTCCTCCTCTGGTTTTCTTTTATAACAATAACATTAATTATTTACAAATGAACATTGAAAGCTTTCACCTCAAAATATAACCGGGAGTTGAGGAGGGAAAAGAAAGAATAAGAGCGAGATGTTGGATGCAATAAAATAATACTAGTTACATTACAGCCTCGCCCTAAAGTCTGACCTTATAGCTTTAATGTTCTCAGTGCACCTGGTCCAGATCAAGTCATTCTTTTCTTTTTGGACCTTGAGGGAAAATTACAGCCTTTCCATAATAAAGATTTCATTTTTTTTGTTCCTATCCATTCATCAACAGTGGGCGGCTCTGGTTTTAGCCATTTCCCCGTGACAGCCTTTTCACTTGCTGCTAGAAGTATTTGTAAACTACCAGTTTAATCACATGTAGGTCACTACCTCCCAACACTGGCATGAAGGCAGCAGTGACTGTTGAACAAGCCGGTTCTGATCAGTGTTGCTTGCATGAAAAGAAAAGGTGCCGTTACCTCGGAGGAGCCCAGTCGTGTTTGGTGCAGTCTAACAGAGTTCCCACGTAGGTCCTCTTCCTCCACGTCACGTTCACCACCAGCACACCTGTCAGTCAACACAGGGACAGAGAGCAGCTTTTCATCTTTTTCAGACTTTCTGAGCAGCACTTCCTTTTGTTGTAAGTATCAGCCTTTGTAGCTCTGCAATAATTCTCCTTTCTTTGTTCTCGCTTGTATCTAATGAGGAAACTAATGAAACACAGACAAAAGACAAATGTGCAGGTAGGATAAGGAACAAAGGGAGCTGGCTGCAGCTCAGACCAGCAGACGGATGGAGGTCACGGTTTTAAGAGGCTTCAATTGTTTTCAGGTTCAAACTGTTTGTTACAGCCTGTGTAAAATTGCTCAGACTGATACTGGTGAGGGGCGTCTGAGGAGGAAAAATACAACCTTCCATTCCCGTCAGGTTTTTGGTTGGAAGGAAAGTTTAGTCTTCAAGGTTTAGAGATTGAAAACCCTTCAGCCATCTGAAATAAATGACTCTCTCTTCCTCTTTTCCTTTCAGCCCCTCTCTCTCGCACACTCTCAGACTGACATTTGAAAACCATTAACCTGCGTTTTGTGATGCGCCAGCGGCAACGCCAGGCAAATCAAATTCTGGACGCATTACGGCTTTAAAACAAGGTTTGACTGCAACACACAACTTCTTGCTCTTCAATTAAGCCTGATGCCCGTCACCTTCACAAAACACTCTCAGACAAATGAGAGCGGGGAAACGGAGCCAAGTGTGTCACTCATTTTAACAAGAGGTGGATGTGATTTGTTTTTCATCATACGGCCCTAAAATCTCCAGTTAATGAGCTGTATGGTTCTGATTAGTCAGCAATATTCTCCTTAAACACTCCCCTCATTAGCTTTGAACTTTGATAAAAATACATTTCCCACATTGTGTGAGAAGCTCACATTTATATTCTGTATCATTATATTCACCAAAGCCGCAACGAATGAAACATTTAAAACCCAAGATGAGATTTTTTACAACATCATATCAAATGGAGTTATTCTGCATTAACTGAGCATCAGTTCCTACACATTTACCCTAAATTAATCTTCATGCGTCTCAGTCTTGTTTCTATTCGTGCACTGTAATGAATCTACACACTCTTGAGCCCGATGTGGAAAGATATGAGAGCGTGAAGCAAACTGGAGCCTGTAAACCGGAGAATTCTTCCCTGAGTGAGACATTTATAATCAGGTTATGAGTGTATACATGTAAACACGAAATCCTGATTCTAAAAACCTGGATCAGTGTGTTTTTGCCGGAGTGCTCCGAGTCCAAAGACACTGGGAGACTGTGGCATGTAAACATCTCATCCAGGTTTCTGCCAACTCGTGGTGCTAAATGAATTCACTCATGACAGTATTCACAATAAACACATCATCAGAAACATGTCAACAAGTCAAATATGGTTAACATTAGCGTGCATGTGTTTATACTCAGTGTGCTCTATAGTAAGTGTTTTACTGTACTTCAGCCTCACGTCCTCGGAGTCTGTCAGGCTTGGACTGTTTGGTGTTAAGACAAATAAATAAAGCTCCTTCATGCGTTTATTTGACAGGGAAAGACATGCAGTACTGGGTGCTCCTGGCTGGACCTGCTGCTCAAGGTTCAGGGCTGAAAAATGAAGCATCACCACTGAAGAACCAACTACTGCAGTTCCTCTAATGGCCACTAGAGTCTGGCTCCAACACTGAGTCAATCCCCATAGACTCCCATGTTAAAATGTCCAACTTTACAGCAGCGCTGCGTCCATCTTTATTTACAGTCTATGTAAGCGCCCTAAGCATTCGGCTCGTCCTGTTTGTTGGGGCGGATTATTTTACAACTGACTTTAAAAGGATCTTAACTTTGCCGAAGTTGCCCAACAGACTGACTCTTCATAACAGTGCAGCTACATACGCACAGACACAGCGGTCCTGTAGGTGAGGAAGCACATCAGGGATTATCTCTGCTCTTTGTTCTGCAGGATGGTTGAGTCACATGATTCAGCTGTCAGTAAGAATCTACTGTCGTTCTCTCCATGTGCAGAGCTCAGTACACAGGAGAACAGACGCATCTTCCTTTAATGAAGGATAAAGTAAATAAAATGTATAAAAATGCATCAACACATTGTGATAGATTTCAGTGAGTGTGCTGTAACTATTGTCCCGGAGCAGGATCAGCAGCATCTCGTCCCCTGAAGCCTCGCTGGGTCTGAAACGTGACAGTGCGTCTATTTTTAGTCGGCATGACTCTGTCTCTCGGGAAGACGCCAAAACACTCGATAGCTCATCAGTTTTCGTCTCACTGTCACGAGTGTGGCTGTTGATGCCGGCGTTATGTTCTTCAGAACTTGCTTGACATTCAAAAAATCCTTCAAAGTGTTTCCAAAAACTTCTCGAAATAAAACGCCCCTGCTGAGTTTTCTGTGTGCGATCGCCGATTTCTGCTTCACAGCTGCTGTGTGTAAACAACTTTTAAAAGAAAGAGAGCAGTGATCAGAAAATCCTTGAACCACATGTCCCAGAGTTTGAGCATCTGAATCTCAGTGACTTTAGGGTTTGTTTGTTATGACTCAGTGAGAAAGAAAATGTTCCCTCTCTTCGTTCTTGCCTCATCATCCTACTCCGTCTGCCCTCTCCACATCCTCACCCACTGCACATAATATCAAAATAAACTGAATGACGAAAATGAATCCACGTTCATTCCTACTTTAAGATGATGTTATTGCCACTCTGTTGTCTAGTCCGCTGATTCTTGCCTTGAGGACAATGGTGACATTAACACGTCCGTCTCTCTGCATCATCTGTTCAACACTCTGGTGTCTGTTTAAAGGTCCCATATTTCATACTTTTCCTGTGTTTTATTTGACGTGTTGGTGGTTTTAAGCATCAAAAACCATCTCAGTGTAGTTTTACATCTCCTCTCTCAGGCTTCTCTCAGGAGCTCTACAATGATCCAATAAAAATAAAGCAGACTCCAGCTAAAAACACTCAGAGAAACCAAATCCTACAAGGTTTGGATGGTGGGTCCAGGTGGGCGGGGCTTGGTGACTGCTTTGTTGTGACATCACAAAGTTCCAGAAGTCCTGACGGCTGGTTTTAAGGCTCAGTTTGTGAATACAGGCTGTGTGCATTTCTCTGTGGACTGAGGCTTTGATACTTTCACAGTATTAATATAGAAGCTAGAGCTGATCTATAATCACACTACACATGGACACAGACCTTTACACTGGAGGAGCTTTAAGCCCAGAGTCCAGCTCTCCCTCTGCGCTGCCATTGTTGCCGATGCTTCTTTGCTCCGCACATCTCTCATATTTTTGTGTCTTAGCGGGACACAACCCTGTCTCCTTGAAATTACAATCATATAGCACGAAATAGTTTTCTCAATAACCGTATGTTGTGATTATGTTCGGAGGCAAGGTTTTTCGAGAGTGAATGAACCCCACAGGAGGAGGGCGGATGGAGGATGTACAAAGATCAGGACTGTGACGATAGAGACCAGGTTCAGATCCAGAGTCCTGTCTGTGGTTTAGGCAACAGCAGCTCTTTGGTTCAGGTTAGTGAAAGAGGAATTTGGTTCCATGTAAATAAACCTGTTTGGTCTGTTGTCACTGTGAACTCTTTCTGTGTTGAACCAGACCAGGATCTTCTCCCCTGTCAGAATGTGAACAGAACCATAAACAGTTTAATGACGCTGGGGTCACTGCAGGTGGAGATTGTTCTGCAGCATCAGATATTTTGGTGACACGCTGTCTGTGAACGAGGGCTGTCGCAATAACTGCAGAACTGAAGCCAGTGAACTAAAGTAACCCCTCTGTGTGCACATATACAGGAAACAGGTGAAAACAATGAGACAATTAAATCTTTTATAGGGATGAAGTCAGGAGAACCACAGACCGATCTGCCAATCATCAAGCAGCAGCAACTTTCTGCTTCCTGCTTACTCTCCTGGAACTGTTTAGAGCCAAAAACCAGTCTGACGTTAAACTTCCTCTAAAACTGTGAATTCTCATTTTCACAGTTTGGTTTTTAACGTTTTAAACTAATGAGATGTGACATGCTAACCAGTGAACTTTATAAGTGTTGGTGGGTGGAATTGACCATGTGGACAGAACCATGTGAGCTGCCCCCCCCCCCCCCCCCCCCCCCCCCCCCCCCCCCCTCCCCCCCTTTCCAGTCTTTATGCTAAGCTAACAGGTTGCTGGTTGTAGCCTCATATTAACTGAGAGTGAGTGAGTGCATTTCCTAAAACGACAAACTCTTCCTTAAAGAGCAGAAAACATAAATCGGGTTATGACAGTAATTATTTACAGTTTCTGTGATTCTCTTCATCTCTGGCATCCAGTCAGTCAGACAGACAGTCAGACAGACAGACAGACAGACAGACACAGACAGATGATCAGACAGACGGTCAGACAGACAGATGATCAGACAGACGGTCAGACAGACAGACAGACAGATGATCAGACAGTTAGACAGACAGACAGACAGACAGTCAGACAGATGATCAGACAGACAGACAGACAGTCAGACAGATGATCAGACAGACAGACTGACAGTCAGACAGACACAGACAGACAGTCAGACAGACACAGACAGATGATCAGACAGACAGTCAGACAGATGATCAGACAGACGGTCGGACAGACAGACAGATGATCAGACAGACGGTCAGACAGACAGACAGATGATCAGACAGTTAGACAGACACACAGACAGATGATCAGACACACAGTCAGACAGACAGTCAGACAGATGATCAGACAGACTGACAGGCTGTCTTGAAGTCAGACAGTCTGTGCAGCTCAGTTAAGAGTCGAGCCAATCACTGCCTGATTAGCGCTCATCAGACTCTGGTCTCCTGCAGGGAGAGGAGGGAGAGGAGGGGGAGGAGGGGGAGGAGGAGGAGGTGGAGGAGGTGGGGGAAGAGGAGGAGGGGGTCTAATGCTGAAATGGTGGTCTCATCTTCTTCTCCTTTCTGTTTCTCCAATTAGTATTCTGCTTAATTAACATGCAACCTGCATCTCCCCATCGAATCCCTCCGCCACGTGAGGAGGGAAGCGG